GAGAGAGAGAGAGAGAGAGAGAGAGAGAGAGAGAGAGAGAGAGAGAGAGAGAGAGAGAGAGAGAGAGAGAGAGAGAGAGAGAGAGAGAGAGAGAACGCCATTCACAGCCACTCGCCCGTGCCTGCTTCCATCCAAAACGCAGTAGCCCGCAGAGCGAGAGCGAGCGTGTGCCTTTGGGAGAGTGGAGGTCACCGACGTGATAATGAGAGCGAGCGTTCTCGTAGTGATAGTGATAGGGTTTAGGGGGACAAGGTTAGAGGCGACAGCAGCCTTCTGACCTAACGCTTGTCATTCATGGTTGGCCAGACTAGTCAGTCGTCCATCTTTATTCTTCGACTTCATTACTTTTATTCGTCCCTTCGCCGTAGCGGATGTGACCATTTCGCAGCAAGCAGTTTGATAATTGTTGCGTCAAAATACCGGCAGCGCTGGCTTAGTTTTCACATCCCGATTTCATGCCTGCTCGGTTCATAAGAAAAAGTCCCCTCCCGCAAAACAAAGGACAATAGGAAGTGAACTCCCTAATTAAAACCATAAAAATGATGAGAGCAGCTTGCGGGCACAGGCCCTCTCTCCCGCGCCGCAACAGCGCTCGATCTCAGTAGGTGTTCCCTAGTATGGACGCCCTTTATAACCTCTAAAACAAACGGCCTGTGGCAGCAATTAGTACGCGCGTCCACGCCCCCGGCCACTCTCTCTCTCAGCGGCCAACAACACGGCAGAAACGGCTACCTTCAGCTTATCTTCCGAGATTACACACTCAGCTCAAGTCACACACAACACATTTCACTCTTGATGGAGCTGTTGAGAAGTTGCGACGCAGGAGGCGCCCTCCCCCGACAGGATCTCGATTCGCTCTTCGCTCGCTCATGACCCGCCTTGCACCTCGGAACATGACCCAACGTAAGGACAAGCTTCTGACGCCTGGGCGGACTCCTTGACCCTCGCCAGAAGAGAAAGAGCTATTTTCTCTCTTGGCCGCCTCCCCTTGTCAACTGGCTCATTTTAGCGTGTAAATAACAGCCATCACATGTTCGGCCGCGCACAGGTGGCGAGCGCCCCAATAAGCCTTAGAAACGGCGCTGCAGGAAGGAAATTAATATAGGCATAACTGAGGCCCGCAAAATGTCAAATTTCCCCCCCTCACCCCTACGCCTCGAGTCTCGCGTGCCACTCCCCTCGGGCCGGGTGGTCAGGAGCCAAAACTTCCGGCGTGCACGACTGCGCCATCGAGGTCAACGAGGATTCCCCCCCCTCCTCCGAAGACTCCCTCCCTCTTCTCCACTAACATATTTACACAATCGCGAGATACCTTTGTGGGGCCTACTGCCCCAACCGCGCACTTGGCACTCTCCTTGGGGCACCTCCTCCGCCCAAGGGAGGGGGGAGGGGGGACGTCGCCACGCAGGGTAGTAACACCAACCTTTGCCATCAAATCGCTCCATCAAAGCTTAGAATAGAAACATTGAGACAATCGTTTCTCTTTCCCGCCCACCTGCACACACACACACACACACACACACACACACACACACACACACACACACACACTTGTTTATACCAACAAACATTGGATTCGTTTCTGATACATCTCATAATGTCAGTGAACAAACAAATACGTGTGCATGTATACCTGTATGTGCGTATGTACTTTGTGTATGCGAGTGTATGTAAATGTGATCGTGTACGTGCGTGTGATCGTGTACGTGCGTGTGATCGTGTACGTGCGTGTGCGAGTGCCAGTATATTAGTAATACCAACCCTCTAACACCTACAACAAGAAGCTTAATCAAACCATCCCTACCCCAATATCTGAT